CTTTTACCATTTTTAATATATATATATATATTTTTTTAGTTTTTTAATTTCATTGCCGAAAACATAAAATAACAAGGGAATTTCCCTTAAGATTAAATATAGTGAAAAATGAAGAAAATAAGGAATATTGCGTTTTTCTCCGCTCCTCTTCTGGTCTTAATCCTTTTCTTTAATTTCTAATCCTGATATAAAAATAGAAAAAAATCCGAGGCCTCATTTCGGCTCCGGTTGTATGCCGTCAAAATGCTGCGGCRAGGTCTGTTTCCGCGATCCCTTTCAGTGGCAGGCCAAAACGGTCCCAGTCCTTTGAGCGACCGGAAATGACGGTCTCTAGTTGTGCTCAGTGCACCCATCCATCTTGCTGTCTTTGAGGGTCACTCTTAAAATCCAGTGCGCTCAGAATCAGGGGTACCCTGAGTTTTCATAATTCTTGCTGCCTAGTCATCCCAAAGCACTGTCAAAACGCGGACTTAACCCTGAGCCTAAACCCCTAAACTGCCGTTTTCAGGCGGCGCACTACTTGTGGCCGCCTGACAGCGGGCCCAGTCATACCTTTAGTAGTTGAGGAGGGGCTACCACCATCGAGCAGTGAGCCAGCTCAGGGCTCGGCAGAGGGATCTATGGACGTGCTCGTTGAGGCAGTGCACTCGATGCAGGAGGAGGCGAGTTTGTTTTCGCCTGAGCAAAGGATAGAGGAACCTCTCGAGAGAGAGATGGGGATTGAGGCTGAGGGTGTCATCGAGGGCGGGCTCCAGAGATTGGGCACGCCCGAGTATGGGCCAGAAGGGATTGAGGACCGACCTGGACCGAGTACTCAGAAGGTGGAGGCACGAGAGGAGCCCTTGGATATGCCTCAGAGCCATTAGTTGAGCAGGGAGACCAGCGAAGCACCATCATCGCGAGAATCTCAGAGAGGAAAGAAGAGGTCCAGAAAGTGGTTCGATACGTCCTGTTTCTTCTGTACAAAGGAGGGGCATCGAGCCTTGCAGTGTCCTAAGTTTTTGAAGGACAAGGCTGAAGGGAAGGTTACAGAGGAAGGAGGCAGGATGTATGATAGGCAAGGCAGGAGAGTGGAGAGATCTGCAGATGGGGGTAGGGCTCAACTATATAGGCAAAACCAGGAGGAGATGAGCGATCGGGACTAAGTTACCTATATGGTTGACATGTTGCATGTAGGATTATAGTTAGGATTGGATGACATTCTGTAGGCCTAGGTTTGTTGCTATTGTCGGGCTGTATGGGTTGGGTTTTTGTTGAGTCTGCCATCTTGAGGACCGGGACATGATAAATGAGGCCTGTACATACTTAGGTGGCCCACGCCCTGATCTTCGAGAGACAGACCCAACTTGTACTTTGAGGACGACATCAGTGTGAGTGTGACTTTGAGTGAGTTGAGAGGG